CCCTGGTCAGATTTAGATTGCCGACCGCATTCTCCGCACGGCGCGTTGCAGTGGCAGTCGGCGGCGTAGGAGCGGAGCAGAGCGTCCAGCGGCGGCCAATTCGCCCCGCCCTCCCCGCCCCGCCCGGTGTCCGGGCGTAAAGACCGCCTCCACCAGTGGGCTGCCGGGTCGGGCCGCCGCGCCGCCATGCCGCAGCACTCCGGCGCACGCCACGGCACGGCACGGCACACCGACGCAAGTTTCCGGCAATGGCCGACGCGTGGAAAGCCACGACGGGACGGCCACATGAGCTCGCTCGGGGGAAGAAGAAAAAAAGAGGTCCGACAGAACAAAAAAAGTAGAGGGAGACAGAGAAAAGAAGCAAGCACTCGCGAGCAGGCACGGCGCCCCGTGTCCGTGCGAGAGAGACAGAAGAGGAGCCAGTCCCACTCCGGTCCAGGCACGGCGTCTCCAGTTCCAGGATTGGGCGCTACCTGTCTCGCAGAGGCCTGCACCGCGCTGCACCGCCATATCATTCTTCTCACAGTGTACGGTACAGCGGCAGCAGTTGGCACACCGTCCAGCGGCGGAGCTCTTGGGGGTGCATGATTTAAAGTGGCCGAGAAAAAGGGAGATTCTGCCTGCGGTCCGGGGCGACAGGAAGCGCGTCGGGGGGAAAGGGGGGAGGGGGAGGGAGCAGAGGGGGAGGGGAAGGGGGGGGGAACGGCGGACCGCAAACCGACCAAGCGGACGAACTTGAGCTCGAGGGGATGCTTCCCTGGCCGCCCTGGCCGCCCTGGCCCAAACAGCACCACGGACCGGCGCTCCACACCTAACCCGGGCTCACTCTCACACTCACACACACACACACACACGCGCGGGCCATAAACACAGGGGACGGGCTACTTCCGCGTGGCGCCTAGGAGCGGTGGCGGCGCGACGGTCACCGTCGTGGGGCGAAACAATTGGGCGGCGTGCCTCATTCTCCCCCTCCCCCCTCTCTCTCTCTCTCTCTCCCCTTCGGACTCGGCCCGCTGCCCCGCCCCGTCCGAAACAGTTTTAATTCCGGGCGGACTCTCCGCCGTCCTTACGTCCTTACGCGGCCCCGGGGTGCCCCGGAGGCGAGCAGGAAGAGCAGTGGGCGAGAGAGAGAGAGAGAGAGAGAGAGAGAGAGGGAGAGAGAGAGAGAGCGCGCTAGGAGGAGAGCGACAGACAGCCCACACAAGGGTCCGTCTAACGAGGACAGCCCGGCCCGGCGGCCCCGCCAAGTGTTTTTGTCGCTCTGCCTCGGTCCCCTCGGTGCCTCGGTCGCTCGCCACGTTAAAATTGCGCGATATTGTGTCACGGTGGCGCGGCGGGGGGGGGGGGGGCGGTCCTCGAGTCATCCGGGGAGCTTTTCTTCGGCGGGTTTCATCACCGCCTTGCTCTTTTTGCACACTCCGCCGACACTGCAACGAGTACCTTGCCTACCCGACCGCCTGGCAGTGTGTCGCCGTGCTGTCTCTCCCCATTGGCGCGAGAGAGACAGAGCGACGAAACTTCCGTCCGGAAGCAGGCGGTAGGCAACGAGCAGGCCCGCCCACAAGGTCCCCCTTAATCTCCCCTCCCCTCATTTCTTTTCTTTTATCGCCCGGTTCAAGTAGGTGGGCATCGCGTCCCTGCCCCGCCTGGCCGCGGTGCCGCCCTTGCCCCGCGGCCACCGGGCAGGGCGGGCAGGTCGCACGCCTCGCCCTCAACTCCTGGCACTTCTCCGTGTCCTCGGGGCTCCACCGCGACGGCCACACCGGGGTGCGGTACTTGGGGACTGGGGCAAGGGGTCGCTGCAAAAAGGGGGGACGGGAAGTTGCCGGCGGTCTTCGGCCCGGCATGCGGAGCGGCGCAGAGGCGCATCAAGACCCCCCTGGTGGTCCTGCCGGGGCGGTGCCCCCCCCCCCTTTAGAGCCAAGAGGAACAAGCGGCGTGAATAAGGCCACCAGGTGGGCGTGGGGTGCGGTGCCCACGGATTTGCCTCTCGAGAACCACGACCTTGTAAATGCTTGTGTACACGACGATCATGACCTCGGCGGTCTCAAGGGCGGCGCGCGAGAGGCACTCAGCAAGGGGAGGGGCGCGGTCGCGCAGGCCGCTCACCGGGGGGGGGGGGGGGGGGACCGGCAGGACAGGCCCGGGGCTTGGAGCTTTTGTGGCCCCGGGCCTCGGCCGGGCGGTGCACTTTTTCTCTCCTGACGGGGCAATATCGGCGGGGCGGGGTGCTGCGTCTGCCGAAATGCCGGAGGGGGTGGAGAGGGTTCACCGGAGAGACAGGGGGGAAGGGGGTAACCCAATTAGCAGCTCGCCAAGGTATCACGCTGAGTCCCGGCCTCACCTCCAACTTAATCAAGCCTTCTGCCAGACACGCCCCACGCTGGCCGCACCTCGGCCGGTCTCTAGACCGGCCCGGGCCTGCTCGTCAAAGAAACTCAAAAGGGATTAAATCGGGCAGGGGGGCGTTTGGATAGAGTGCGCCGATAATGAGTTCCGAGTGGAGGCGAACCGGACGCCCGACAAGCCAACAGACTATCCAGGAACTTGAAACAACAAGTTCGAGTTTCGGTCGGGGGTTCCAACTAACGACAGGTCGAAAAGACTTGAAATGTAAGTAAACGTCACATCTTAGCCTAACAAGCACCAGTGTTTTGCTTCGTCTATTTTCTCTCTTTTTTGGATTCGCCACCCTTCTAGTGTGGGCGCCGCTAAGTGGGCCTGGTAGGCCTGGCGGGCCGCTAGAGTAGGCCGTCCTCCTCGGTTCAATTGGCCACACCGGCAACGCAACAGCGCGCATTTCGTTTGTCGGGATCTACGGGCCTCGCCTCGCCCCGCCTGTTGTTTCGCCGCGCTGCTTCATTGCGTCCTGGTGGTCCTGGCGGGCCCCGCAGCCCCGGCAGTCGTGGCGAGAAAAGGGATTCTCTCGAATGGCCGCTTCCAATGGACTCCCATCGATTCCGGGCAGAGACGCACCCGGCTCTATCCAGACACCGATTCTATTCATCGATACATCGAGGCTGCCTCATTCGTCGATACATCGACGCTGCCTCATTCATCGATACATCGAGGCTGCCTCATTCATCGATACATCGACGCTGCCTCGTTCATCGATACATCGACGCTGCCTCACTCTTCGATACATCGAGGTGGCTTGTCCGTGCCTCTGGCCTGGCCGTCCCCTCGATGCCTTTCTTGCCGCTGCCACCGGCGGGCTCGTCCGGGCCCGGCTCATCCAGTGGCCTACATCGGCGTAATGTTCAAAGGGCCGGCGAGGCCAAAGCGAAGCCAAGGCGAAGCCAAGGCGAAGCCGAGGCGAGGCGCCCCGAGGTACGGTAGACGGTAGGGCGGGGCGGGGCGGGCCCAATCCAGAACAAGAACGCCGGCTTGAGGCCTTGTCGAACCGAACGCAAAGCGGCGTAGCGCGGATCGGCCGCGGCACGGCACGGCACGGCGCGGCCGCAGGGGATCGGGTGTAATGTAGCTCGGCACGGCACGGCGGCACGGCGTGACCGCGGGGATTCGGTTTCCTAGTTCCCCGAGGTTCATTGATGTCCCCGCTAATGCGCCGACAACCCACGCAACGCAACCCGGGACAGGCGGGCCGCGGCGCGGCTCTCTCATCAAGCCGGCTCGAAGCGTCGGGCCGCGAGACTCACCGACGCACGCACGGCGTCAAAGGGACCGGCCTCATTGCACCCCCCCCCCCCCCCCCGGCCTCGCTGGGCCCGGCCGCTAATCACGGGTACAACAAAACTGGCGAAACTTGTCGGTCGCCAGCAGCACACTGCCACACTGCAAAGCCACTGCGCGGACTTTCGGGGGGGGGGGGCAGCACGGTGCCTAGGGCGGCCATCCGCTGGTACCCGAAGGCCTCTGCGCACCGTTAAAAAAGGGTGTGAGAGAGCCGGGGCGACGAAAACGGCTCTCGGAATCAGTCTGCTGGCGTGCTTCTCCCGAAACGGTCTAGGCGAGGGAAGGAAGGCACTAAAGCACGCGCTCGCACGCACCCAAAACAAACGAAATTACATCACGCTTCTTCTCTAATGGCGGAGGGTGAAAAAAGAAAAAAAGGGGAAAATGCGGAATACATGTAATAAATGGGTGCAGGGACGCTTCGCGCGCCTCGCCTCCAGGAGACAATTCCGCGCCGGATTTAAGCCGCCAGCTTCCGGCCACCAATACCGTCAATACCGGGCTAATGGCTGCGAGGGGCCCTTTTTCATCCGAGAGAGGGGGGGAAGCAGGGGGCCCTGGGGGTGTGGGGACCGCCACGTTCGCTTCGACAGTCCCGGCAGCCCGCCCGGGGCCACACAGAGATTAGGCCAGTGGACAGCGCCCGGAAAAATAACGGAGCGAAGACCACAGGGGGGGGGGGTGCTGGCGCGGACCGGGGCTCAAGTGGCACAGCATGGACCGAGGCATGGACCGAAGCGTGGGCCGCTCGCGCCCGCTTCCGCCTCATTTGCAACGCACGTATACACTTTTACTGCAGGCTTTATGCCCGACCATGCGAGGCGGCCCTCTCCAACCAAATCCCCCCGGCCAGCCGCGGCCAGCCTCGCCCAGCCGAGGCCAGCCCGTCCGGTTATGGCCGACATAGTCAACAACAAGAAGGATATAGGAATGGCCGGAGTCCGCGCGGCTCCCGCGCAGCTGGCAAACTTTGCGAGCGAGCGGCCTCTCCCGCCTCGCGCCGCCGCCGGCCGCAGCGCCGCGCCCTCTGCCACGCCACTGCCACGCCACGGCCACGCCACGGCATCGCTCGCGGGGAACTTCTCGGCGCTGCGCTCCGCGTTCCGACGTCGTCGCGGAAGAACTTGTTTTAAGGAGCGTGCACTCTGCAGCTGCCTCTCGTCCTGCACAATGCAGACTTTATCGTCGCTCTGCCTCTCTCGCACTCGTGGGGCGTACCGTATAGGTGCGAGAGAGACAGAGCGACGAAAACGACTCACAAATTGAATCCATGATCCCAGCAGAGGGCATTGCACGACGCTCACCGAAATAAGTGCTGTTGGTGAGGACCCAGAACACCTTGAGCGGGTCGACCATGACTCCTAGAGGCGCGGCGGGCGGAGCATAGTACCAGGAGAAGAGGACCAGCAGCCAGCAGAGCGCTGCCCAGACGCCGGACCCGCGCGGGCCGGGCCTGCCGCACGCCGCCGGGCACGCCGCCACCGCGGCCACGCGTCACCAGGGGCACCAGGCGGTCGCCACCATCCGCCGCACGCCCGAGTTCACGTTGTACAGTCGCCCAAAGTCACCAGGCACGGGTAGCAGCGGGGATTCACAGTGCACTCGCGAGGGCCGCGCCTACAGGTAGCCGGTGCGCACCGGTCCGTGGACTTCGTGCACTTCGTGGACTTCCCTGCGCGCTGCAGCCTGGCGATCCGCACCCAGCCGCCGCAGCCTGCCAACTAGCCCGCTGGAGGGGGCGCTGGAGCGCTGGAGCCGCTGGCCGGGCAGGGGGTGGCGCTACCCCCTCCCCTCCACTCCGCTCCACGGCGGGGCCCGCTGACAAGTGTCTGCCGCAATAAAACCATTTACAACCCCTGCCATCAGAATAACCATTCGTCCTAAGGAGGCGGCCGCGAGGCGCGGTGAGGGGGTGGGCGGGGCGACACCTCCGACCGAGCAAACACCCTCCGCGACGTGGGCGCGGAGGCGCCGTCGGCCGCGTCCCGGTGTCCCCACGGCCTGCTTTCCACGCCACTGTCAATCCTTTTTCCGCCCGTCCTGCACCGTCTTACAGAGCTGTCTGGCGGCAGAGTTGGCCGACGGGCCACGTAAGCCGCCCCGCCCGCACCGGGTGCCGTCCTCCTGGTGCCAACCTGGTGCCAACCTGGTGCCAACCTCGTTTGATTCGACTGTGGGTCTCAAAACGCGTCGAAAGTATTGACCACCGGCGCCGGTCTTCTGGCCCACTGTGCTGGTGCAATGGGAGCACGTGGATGGTCCTTGTCAACCCGCTCCATACCGGGAAGCCAAGGCGTATCCGCGTTGGTGCGTTGGGTCCGTCCGCTCGGCAGCCGCTTGCCCTACTTCTGGAAGTTATTTGAGCGCTGCTCGGCGGGGCGCGAGCGCGCGGGGTCCGCTGGAGCGAGGCAGCTCGTGTACGGCCGCTGATAGTGCACGGCCCAGCATGTGTTGTTCCTTGCGCCCCGGGCCTGCCCCTGGCCCGCCCCTGGACCGACGCGCAAGGCACACCCGGGCGCAACAAACCCTGTGGCCTTGCGAAACTTTCCGCGGCTAACACGAGCACTGCCGTGTTGCCTGCGCAGCGGACGGCAGCGGGGCACGATCCGATGTGGCGATGTCCGAGTTGTCCCAGCTTCCCTCTCTGGGCGCGCAGAGGGCGCTGCTGCCGCAATCCCGGAGGCCATCGCCCAGTCGGCTTACGCCTGCTGGCGCCTGCCCTCGCCCGCCCACGCCAGCCCACGCCACGCCCCCAGCGCGCTGAAGCGGGCCCTCGCGCCGCAGGGCCTCGGGGACGCAGTGTCGGCAGAGGGCCATTAAGACGAGTCCCAATTTTCAGAGGCCTGTCCTAGCCCAGTGGTTCTCAACCTTAGGGTCGCGACCCCAAGCGGGGTCGCGAAATTTTTTAAGGGGTCGCGGCGATGCTGGGGTCGTGTTTTAGGCCGATTTTAAGCAGCCACTGCGTCTGATCCGAGGCGGGCATTTTGCTCCCTCAACGGGCAATCGGTCTTTGGACCTTCCTTTAGCATGCCTTTGTTACGGAGTGCAATTATCAGTCTTAGTTTGGGAGCAGTATTGTCTCAAAGTTGGCCGAAACGCTCAGAAATGTCTATGAAAAATCGTGTTTTGGGCCGATTTTAAGCAGCCACTGCGTCTGATCCGAGGCGGGCATTTTGCTCCCTCAACGGGCAATCGGTCTTTGGACCTTCCTTTAGCATGCCTTTGTTACGGAGTGCAATTATCAGTCTTAGTTTGGGAGCAGTATTGTCTCAAAGTTGGCCGAAACGCTCAGAAATGTCTATGAAAAATCGTGTTTTGGGCCGATTTTAAGCAGCCACTGCGTCTGATCCGAGGCGGGCATTTTGCTCCCTCAACGGGCAATCGGTCTTTGGACCTTCCTTTAGCATGCCTTTGTTACGGAGTGCAATTATCGATCAAAACAGTCGCAAGTGTCTTTGAAAAATCGTTGTGACTATTTTGGTCAACTTTGAGACAATACTGCTCCTAAACTAAGACTGATAATCGCACTCCGTAACAAAGGCATGCTAAAGGAAGGTCCAAAGACCAATTGCCCGTTGAGGGAGCAAAATGCCCGCCTCGGATCAGACGCAGTGGCTGCTTAAAATCGGCCCAAAACACGATTTTTCATAGACATTTCTGAGCGTTTCGGCCAACTTTGAGACAATACTGCTCCCAAACTAAGACTGATAATTGCACTCCGTAACAAAAGCATGCTAAAGGAAGGTCCAAAGACCAACTGCCCGTTGAGGGAGCAAAATGCCCGCCTCGGATCAGACGCAGTGGCTGCTTAAAATCAGCCCAAAACACGATTTTTCAAAGACACTGCTGACCGTTTCGGCCAACTTGGAGACAATACTGCTCCCAAACTAAGACTGATAATTGCACTCCGTAACAAAGGCATGCTAAAGGAAGGTCCAAAGACCGATTGCCCGTTGAGGGAGCAAAATGCCCGCCTCAGCTCAGACGCAGTGGCTGCTTAAAATCGGCCCAAAACACGATTTTTCAAAGACACTGCTGACCGTTTCGGCCAACTTTGAGACAATACTGCTCCCAAACTAAGACTGATAATCGCACTCCGTAACAGAGGCATGCTAAAGGAAGGTCCAAAGACCAACTGCCCGTTGAGGGAGCAAAATGCCCGCCTCGGATCAGACGCAGTGGCTGCTTAAAATCAGCCCAAAACACGATTTTTCATAGACATTTCTGAGCGTTTTGGCCTACTTTGAGAAAATACTGCTCCCAAACTAAGACTGATAATTGCACTCCGTAACAAAGGCATGCTAAAGGAAGGTCCAAAGACCAGTTGCCCGTTGAGGGAGCAAAATGCCCGCCTCGGATCAGACGCCGTGGCATGTCAAAGGAGGGGTCCCGTGGGGTCGCGAAATTTTTCCTGGGGGTCGCGGAAATTTTTGGCTTCAAATTTGGGGTCGGGAGCCGAGAAAGGTTGAGAACCGCTGTCCTAGCCCCCGGAGGGGAGTTGCTGTGAATCGGGTGGGTATCAGCGCCTCCACAAATCAAAGTTTGAACATTATATGCGCTAACTGAAAGAAAGGGCATTTTAGGGTGAAGCACTGAAAAGCAGATACGCTCCAGTTAATGCATGTTATGTCAAGTTCACACGCCGATATGTGGGGTAAGTACAGTAGGGGTAAGGTGGTTGGGTATTGAGGTATAACCGGGCCGGGCATGTGGACGCGGGTAGGCCAAGTGAAATCAAGCCACCTTTGTTCCTCGAGTCGGAATAATCACCGAAATCAGCCGGCAAATTGGCGGACCTCCGAGTTCGGGGTTCGCAGTCTACGCAGGCGACGACTCTGGCTGGCTCTGGCTGACGGCGGCCCGGGCGGCAATCCAAACGAGCCACCTTGTCCCGCTGCCCTGGCTGCCCTGGCTGCCCCGGCCGCCCCTGCCCCGCCCAACGCAAAGCCCTTGGCAAAACACGCCTCGGGGGCCGCGAGGCAGCTAGGCGGCGAAGACGGTGCGGCCGCCTCCACGGCAGCTGGTGCTGCTGCAGGCATTCCGAGAGTCGCCTGTCTCTCTCGCTCCTCCAGGGACGCCGCACGAGTGCGAGGGAGACAGACTCTCTGAATCGGCATGCTGGCGCTGCTGGTGCGAGCAGTTTCTTGCCGCGTCCCCGTTAATGTATCAGCACGGCGGCGACTCCCGGCGGACGGCCGGGCGTCAACTCGAGACTCCGGCCGGGACGGCGACGACCACCACGACGACGAGGAGCAAAAAATACCGAGGCAGTCCGTAAAGCTGCGCAGCGCTTTCAAAAAGATGGATGCGCGTTTGCGTGGCCGGCGTGGACGCGGACGGGGCGCGTCGCTTCTTCAGGCGGTGTCTCCGCGACTCGCCGAAACCTCAATGCAGATAAGAAGGGGCCGCGAGGCGAAAAGCGAGGACGGGCGAAAAGGCGAGCAGAGTCGGGCGGACTCTGGGACCGGTACTTCGGGCTCGCTGTCAAGTGGGAAGGAAGGCGCCAGGGCAGTGGGAGGTTCAAGGCTGCGACTTGTGTCAAGTTTTGGGGGTAACAAGATTTCCGATGACAAACTTTACACAACAATATCTTTTTCAATTTCTCTTACGTTTGTATGTTCAGCCAGGAGTCCGCTGAGGGACGCTCCCCGCGCAGCCCACGCGGCCTGCGCCACAAGTCCAAACATGCGCGGGCCCCTCCGCCTTTTACCCTACTTCGCCCGATATGCATCCCCCCGGGGCGCGTCCTGACAGAGGGGTAGTTCCACAAGGTCAGGTGAGTAGAGCAGGGCGGCCCGGCGTGGCGCGGCGTGGAGCCGCTACACCAACTTGTGTCTCATGGGTATTGTTTCTCGAGGCTCCCAACGCATTCACTTTGATGATGCCGAGTGTGCGGGCCCGAGAGTGTGTGGGGCTCGGGGGAGGGGGTGCGGGAGGGGAAGCACAACGAGGGATATTCGGGCCCACCACGGGTGTCGGTCCACTGCGTCCGAATGCGTGCATTCCACGAGGGAAGTGCCGCTCCTGGTCGTAGCGAGCCTCCCCCACCCCCTCTGCTCACCCAACCCATCACCGGCCTCGACAACCCCACCGGGGGCAAACGACTCTCAATGATTAAAGTGCGGTTCTCCTCGTACTGAAAAGTCACCCGAGCGGTGGGCGGTATCGGCTACACCGTGATACTCGGGCACCGTATCCATTAATCGATAGCTGTCCTCCTTGTTAAGAGCAGACCCCGGGATAAATGACTTTTATCCTCGGGGCTTTCGAAGCAAAACGTGTTCCATTCAAGGATCAATTCAACAAAATAAATCATCGAGCTCCAAATGCCGGAGGACTTCTTCATCGCTGTCAGAGAGAAACGAAAAGCGGGAGCCACGTTCCATTGTTTCGGTTCGGCTTTAAACGGCGGTCGGTAGAAGTAAG